GGGGGGGGGGAAGATTGACCGACGCCTTCTACACTGTGAAATAAAGGCATAAATGATAGCAAAGAAGTAACTGATCACCACAGATTTCATATTTGATTATTATCAAATGTATACTGTATAATCCCTTTACACTTACATTAAGCATTGAAAATACATTTGTCATTTTCTATTACACATGACTGAAATTACCACATAGTATACCCGAGGAACTACAGGTGAGTCTTTTTTTAACCAAACCAAAAAAACAACAACATTTCTTATCCATGACTGAATAAGTGACCTGTAGGACTCATATCATTATGTCACTGATATATGTATTCAAGTTATTTTGGTATACATTACACATATTTATGACTACATTCCACCTGTTTTCTGGTTAGTGGACAGATAAATTATAAGGTCTGTTTTGTTTTTTGTCTCCACAAATAGCCACCTATAGTGTTTGCTGTCAAGCCATCAACAGTACAATAACCTTTAATGACACCCACTCATAACCTCAAGGCCGCAGCAGGTTGTATTTGTGATTTGGGTGTTGCCCTCAAATAACTAGCCAGTATAACATCAGCTGATGTGTCAGACTTCTCAAATTGTTGCATGATTCTGTTTGGGAACATTAGGTGTTTCTACTGGTTTTGGATCTCCTTCCTTTTATGTCTCCATACAAACAATGGTTCCATATGTCCCAGTCTTTCTACAAGGGGCTCCAGATATAAAAACTAGTTTGCTGAAACAACAAAAGCTGGGCACGGCCACAAGGTCATAAAGATAGCTGGGGCTCCTTCTTGCTGGCTGTTATTACGCCTGATCATTCGCAGGCTGCTAGCCAAAATAGCTGAGTGACAGATAACCAACCTGAAATAACCGGCAAAATTGATTTCATGTTTATTATGCTTTGAGGGGTTATATCGAGTAGGCATTAGGCAAGCTCCATTCACTATCATAACCTCCATCACTGACAGAAAACTGAGGAGATTTACTACAATATGATTTAGATATGATATAATAATGTTTTGATTATAGAATAAAGGTTCTTTAGATCAGTGGTTCTCAACTGGTGGGTCGCGACCCAAAAGTGGGTCGCGGACCCGTTTCAAGTGGGATGTGGATGTGTGAGTGAAGAAAAATAAAATTAAAAAAATGTCAAAGATAACGTGCTGCCTTACGTTATCAGTATTTACCGCTCATTCATTCAAATTGTATACATGGCGAAACGCAGGTATGATTCTGAATATATTAAGTATGGATTTTCATACATTGAAGATAAAAGAGAGGGACCAAAACCTCAGTGTGTTGTTTGCAGTGAAATACTGGCACGAGAGAGCATGAAGCCGTCAAAAATGAAGCGGCATTTGGAAACGAAACACTCCGCTTATAAAGATAAACCTGTTGAGTTCTTTCAAAGACGACTTACAGAGCTGAGGACATCGCAAACAGTGCCTGACCTCTTCATGTTCGAAACAAGAGCAGGCCCTCCGTGCATCTTACCTCGTAGCTCAGCGTATTGCAAAGAGCAAAAAGCCCCACACCATTGCAGAGGACCTTATTTTACCTGCCGCCATCAACATGGTCAGAGAGCTGCTGGATCAATCTGCGGTGGATAAACTGAAGACCATACCACTGTCAAACGATACAAGCAGTAGGCGGATTGAAGACATTCAACGATGACATTCAACAACAGACCACAGCTCGCATCAAGGCAAGTGCTCACTATGCATTACAGATGGACGAGTCCACAGACATCGCGAGCCATGCTATTTTACTTGTTTATGTGAGGCATGTGTGGGAAGGGGACTTACAGGAGCAATTTCTCTGCACTAGAGATCTTCAAACTACCACAACTGCGGAGGACATTTTTAGTTCTGTGGACTTGTACTTGGGTTCGGTGGGCCTAAACTGGGATCTGTGTGTCGGAATCACAACTGATGGCGCTGCCTCTATGACTGGAAAACATTCAGGGGTGGTGAAGAGAATACTAGAAAAAGCCCCTAATGCGACTTGGCAACACTGTTTTTTGCATCGAGAGGCTTTAGCAGCAAAGGACATGGTGCCAGTGCTTCATGAAACATTGAAGGATGTCGTCAAAGCGGTGAACCACATTAAACGCAGCGCAAAGAGCACCCAGTGCTTTCAAAAGCTGTGCTAAGACCTGGGCAGTGAGCACATACAGGTGCTGTATCATGCAGAAGTTCGCTGGCTTTCGAGGGGAAAGGTACTCTCACGCTTCTACGAGCTTAGAACAGAAATTGCAGCCTTCTTTGCGCAGAACAGATCGCCTCTTGCTGACATGTTTAGTGATGATGTGTGGCTCGCACGAGTAGCTTACCTTGCTGATGTGTTTGAATATTTAAACACATTAAATGTTTCAATGCAAGGGAGGGGACACAATGTGTTCGAACAAACGGAGAAAATCGAGGCGTTCAAAAAAAAGATCGCATGGGCAAATCATGTTTCCAGGGAGAGGCTGGACATGTTTCCAAATGCGTGTCATGAGGCAAAAGAACTGGACACTGCAGGCAAAAATGCCCTGAATGAAACTATCAGGGCACATCTAAGCAAACTGCAGGATCGGTTCAACAATTACTTCCCTGAGAAACACGGGGATGATGACTGGGTACGGGATCCTTTCGGAGTCGAGATGGAAAGCATCACGTTGCCGAGCAACGAAGAAAGTCAGCTGGTGGAGCTGTCATGTGATCGGTCGCTGAAAAAAAAATTCACTGAGGTAACCCTGCCCCAGTTCTGGTGCAGTGCTGTGATTACTGAGTATGCATCCCTCGCCACACATGCAATCAAAATCATCCTGCCATTCAGCACTACCTATCTCTGTGAAAGTGGCTTCTCAGCTCTGGTCCAGCTGAAGACAAAGCAGAGGAACAAATTGAACATTGAGCATGACCTCAGAGTTGCTTTGTCTACCATCACCCCAGACTTTGAGACCCTTGTCAGGAACAAAAAGCATCCCCAGCTGTCCCACTAGCTCCCCCCAAACTAAGATATATTACAGTAAGTTCAGTAAATGCTGACGCTAAATATTTGTCACAATACAATGTTGTTCAGAATGTATCCCAGATAAGCTCTTCTACAGTTCAATTTTGGTTCTTGAAACTTTAATAACATTATCCTTTTACACTTGTTTAAAAAGCATGCATGTATATGTACTTTTTACTATTATTCGTTATAATCACTCTGTCAGTGCTGTTATTTATTTATTATCATCATAACTATTTGTTTATGGGATATTTGCACTCTTTATTTTGTTGTTTATTTCTTGACTCTTACTACTGTTACTGTTTTAATTGTATTTATTTTTTATTCTAAATCTGGTTTGAATGTATATTTTTTGTTTGTTGGGGGGGATTATAATACAACATACACACAGTTCTGTATTCTTCTCATGCCTTCTCAAAAGCATGCCTGTTATTGAAGATAAGTCTGCCTTTTTATGTAATACAACACAAGTGTGCCTTTTTATTTATTACATACAATACAATTTTGACTCTAAAACCTTGATGACCATCACCAATTTAAACTTGTTTAAAAAGCATACTGTAGTTCTGCGAAGGGATATAATCTGCCTTGCATGGCACTAACAATGTTGAAGATGTGGTTGTGTTCCCATGGACTACATTTATTGAAAATGTATTCACTGTTCTTCACTTTTATATTACTGCACTACTTTTTGTGAATTAAATTTGTGTGGTTCAAAATGGTGGGTCGCGACTCATCGACGAAGGAAAAAGTGGGTCCCGAGGCCAAACCAGTTGAGAACCACTGCTTTAGATCCTTCCATTTAGCGTGCAGACATTTGTTTTGGAGTATTCGAGTGGTGTTGGTAAACACATGGAGTTGATCGGGGTCTTACCACGTGAAGACATGATTGATGTGATCTGAATCCTTTCTTAGGGGCTCACTGGAGCTGAATCACAATCTGAGGCACCACCATCAATTACCGATGCATTTCAGATTAGTTATTCAGTTATTAAGAGCTACTGAAAGGTGGCAATGACCCTCAGGTAGATTTTCCTAGACTGTAGAAGTTTTCGTTATCAGGCAATGGGGTCTCCATGTGGAGGAAGTTGATCATATTAACAGTAACAGTTATCAAGTAAAATAGTTGGTTGAGCATTCCTAGAATTAATTTTAAATGATGTTTTGACTGATCATTAGACCCTGCATTGGCCTTCTGACAGGCTATCTAATAGTACCCTGAATATGCATTTCCTTTCTACACTCACCAAGGTACAGAGCAGATCATAGCATCAATATTTACATTGCATCTGCTTAGTCTAAACATGTCATTGCTGGTTTCACAGGCTTGATTAGGAACATTGATCTGAATGCAATACCCCACTCAGTAGTCAACCTTTACCACCTCTTATTTCACTCCATTAGTCTGCCAAAACATTTTTAGTTATTTCAGAAACTTCTGCACACCATTTTCTGACCTAAAGCTCCTCTAACATAATTGTTCTTAAAAACAGTCTTTAAGTATGTTGATTTCCCCCCCTGCATGTCTCTGATGTGATGTACTCATCTGAACAAACACACTGTACCTCCATATTTTCCCTCTTTATTAGCAGTCTGTGTAAATCTGTAGAGGGACTTGCATGTGTTGGACCTGTAAGCTACATTTGACCTCATTTGCACAGTTTGCACTATATTTTGAGGATGATGGACCCATGAGCTTGAGCTACCTCATTTAAAACCCTGGTGAAAGTAACACTTCTGGTATTATCCTATTTCTATAAAGTCGACAATAAGCGATCATCCAAAGGTCTAAAAAGGAGGGTTTACAAAAAAAAGCAAACTTAAAACCTAGGATATCAGAGAGCATTTACATATTTCGTGTTTGTTTTTTTGGGGACACCAAGTTTGCACTGTGCAAAGAAAAGTGTGCTTTTGCCACACACTTCTCTGACAGTTTAAGTTTCACTTTCCTTTCCTCAGAAAAGTATCCTACACTCGTGTTTGTATTATCCTCTATCCTTTTGCAGCTGTTATTCGCCACGTAGCCTATAGGCTACTGCAGCGGTTATCATGCCGAATCTCACTGAAGCAAAAATAAGGTAAATGCCTAATTTGACGCAACGTTAGGTTGTAAGTAAACGGAGCAAAGTTTAGTTTCACAACAGGTGGCGGTTAGGATGAAACGTAATTACCTACCGTTTTTTACTTTCTTCTGTGTGGTTTGTGTCCTGTAGGCTATCTATAGGCCACCGGCTTTGTTATCTTTCGTTAAAGCCTTGGGGTAGACGGGATATTACAGAAAACAAACGTGTGTTAGCTAGTTTAGTGTTAGCTAATTGTTGTCTTCTAACTGTGGAAAAGCGTTACAGTGTTTGTATGGACAAACAATACTACTCCCATTTTCACAAGACATACCTTCCTTACATTCGGACAATACAGTTGCATTTTGTTAGCAACACAATCTCGCAAGATCTGATAACAGAGAAGTTATTTCAAATATTTTAACTGACGTTCGCAAATTCCCTGGCTCACTAACTTTTGTAACAGTAGATATGTTTCTAAGCACCGTAAATATTTGATGTTAGACAAATAAAAGACAGGAAGTGTAGGCTACCTTTGTTTATCATTGGTAGCGCTTGTAATCAACACCTTATTGAAACAAAGGTACTGGTTCTGTGCATGTCTGCTGAAGTTCTTTAATTTTTTTGAATGTTTTAAAATCAGAAAGGGGAAATTCCTGATATCCAACTAAGCAATTTCACACTGGATGAAAACAGATTGGAATAACTAATCAATGGTAGAATGTGTTTGTGTATCCACAATCATCTGAACAGTTTAACGGAGTGCTTTAATGAGAGAGGAGAGAGAAGATGCGGAAAATCAGAGAGGAAAGGATGTAGGTTACATTAACCTTCTCTCATTCTCTCTTTCACTCATCCATTTTGCTAAACAGATTTTTCCCCACATTAAATTAACTAAATAGTTTGAAGTATATTAATAATTGAGCTAACAGGACTGTTTACAAAGTTGATGTTGATGACCTGCCAGATTTCTTTAAAAATAGTGAATATGTGATAGCAAAGCATTGGTTTTCAAATAACGTGCATACAAGTTACCTGTAGAAAAATAAATGATCATACAGTAACTTGCAACACCACATGTTATAAGGCACATATTTTGGCCTGCACTTTGAGAAAGGAAGTTGGATTCTATGGATTCTCCTGTCTTGTTTAAGGATTAATGTCGTGTGTGAAATGTTTCCGACATGTTTTACTTTTATTGAGTTCTATTAAAAATACTTTATTTCAGTAGTGCTCAACTCATCCCAAAACTCACCATGGCTCAAAATGTTTTAATAAACTCACTTCAATGCTTTGTCCATTCAAACAATGCTGCTTTTTTTCGATCACATTTGAGGTCCCATATGTATTCCATTGCTTCTTTGTTTCATCTTTTCTTTTAGACTGATGTATGTGATTTTTTTCCTCACCAGACCAGCCAGCTTTTCATTTGCTTCGGCCCAAGAAGTTGAAGATCAAGTTCCTGCAGCTAAACCGGCTTTTGCAATTGCAGAGGACGTCATAAGTCGTTTAAACCTTTGTTCAAACGTCAGTTCAACGGAGAAAGAAAATAACACACCTTCATATACGTTTCCTGGTAAGCTGCTAAACAGTTTCACATGAAGAAAGAATGATATAAAACTGTGTTCCAGTTTTCCCAAAAGTTTAATGCATGCTTCAAGACGCTCCATGCAAGCACCTTACATATTGTGAGCAGAAGTGTCATAAGTGTCAGTATTCTGTAACCCTAACTTGAACCGGATGGAGACTTATCAACTTTTAAACTCTCCTCAGCACCTCAACCTAAGTTGGAATCTCAATGGAGAGAAATGGAGTGGACAGATGAGTGAGTAAAACATTCAAAATCAAGTCATGTTTGCAACTCTTTTAATTACATCAGAGTGATAGAACTGGTCATTTAGAGCAAGAAGATAGAACATAATTTAAACCCTATAAATAGATTACCTTTATTCCTTCAACTTATGTTCACAGACACTTATCTTTTCAAATATTCTGAACAGCAAGTATATCTTCAATATCTTCGAATCTAGGCAAAAGGCGAGTCTGATGAAGACTGTCAGCTCCTACAGGCCGAGCTGTCACGAGGGGACTCAGGCTCGAGTTCTCCTCCTGGGTCCGGTCGGTTCTGGAAAGTCCAGCTTCATCAGTTCAGTCCAGTCTGTGTTTAATGGAAGAGTCACCAACCGGGCCATGGTGGGCACCTCTTCCACCAGCTTCACCAAGAAGGTACAAGTGGAGCAATAACTGAGTGGGAACAAAAGAGCTGAAATTCATTGTTGCGTTTCTCAAATTAAGGAAGTATTGAAAAGAGAGCCTCATCTGGCCTTTTGGAAAGGCACTGAATAGCTAGTAAATTCAAGCGGTATCTATACACTATCCACGAAAAATGAAAAACAGCCGAACACCGTTCAAAGAGACCATCTGTAGTCAAAGTATTGTCAGTCATTTCCCATGTTAAATAAAAGACGAATGTTATCTCCAATTCATCAACACACTTATATTCAATACCGGTTTCAAGTTTGTTTGTAAAACATCATGAATAAGCAAAAGGAATTCAACGTTAGACAGTCATCTTTACTCAAAGTCCAATTACTAGCTTTCCTGAAGCTTTCAATTTCATGGATTTTGCCTGGATGTCATAAAGTTGGCCATGACAAGTCCAAATATTACGTATTAGATTTAAATATAGATTAGGACAGACAATATGCGTTAGGGCTGCACGGTATTGAAAAAAACTGACATCGCGGTTTTTCCCCCCCCTGCGGTATATATTGCGGTTTTTTTAACCTGTTAAACCCCAAAGTCCCGGCGGGTACTTTACTTTTTTTTTCACGACAGTGTCTCAGGGGATCGTAATATTTAAGAACCTATTAATGTGTTATACCAGATTAACGGAAATAATCTCAGCTAACTGACGATACAAACCATTTTATACCAAAACAAAACACAAGTCTCATAAGAAGCATCTAAATGACCCCTGAGCGAAAAATGCTAACGCACTTTGGCACAGAACTCAAGATAAAAGTACCCTTATTATTACTTATCGTAGCTGCACTTACAAGATATCCGATTAAAGCTGAGGTTCCACAGATTATTTAGGTATATAGTATCATCACTGAGTGATCTGAACTCGGACAGGGGAAGCAAACACAGACATCACAACACGTACCTTTACGTAGCTTCAAGGGGAGATGTCTCACCGTAGCTGTCAATCTGATCAAAAGACGTGTTCAATGGCATTAAAACGAGAAAGAAAAAACGCGGCTGAATCGGTTAATCCATAGGTTTTTAAGGTCTCTGTATAAAAAAATGATTTAATTTATAATCCATAATTCCATTTTTATGTAAATATCGCAGAGCAAAAGTTAGCTGCTAATGGTAGCCACCATAGTGGCTGCTGCTTCCGGTCTTGGCTATGCGGAAGTCTCTCACACACACATTACCAAATAAGGACTGTGTGATTTCCCCTCGATTCCATTGGCTCTGACGGTCAGAAAGAGATGTCACATGTCAAAATCCAGCAAGGTGGGCCAGAGATATGGAAAATCCACCCAAATGGCCCCAAAAGAGGGTTTTTTTGGTGCTAAATCTGTCAAAAAGGTCAAATATCAGGAGAAGTTCTACACACACCAACACATGAACAAATAACAGGGTTCGTACGGGTGCTTGAAATCCTTGAAAATGCTTGAAATTTGACATGGTGTTTTCAAGGTTGGGAAAGTGCTTGAATTTTGGGAATGGTGCTTGAAATTGAGATAAAGTGCTTGAAAATGTAAATGCTTTACTTTTACAATAAATTGCTGTCTGACTGAATAGTTCGCTTTTAGATTAAAAGAAAATAATTGCTTCGCTTCTACATAAAACAGCTCCGCTGCGGCCTTCCCGCGCTATGCGCGCGACCTGCAAGGGTTTGTGTTACGTGTGACCTGGGCATTCTGATGAGAGTGATAGATGACTGTGTGCCAGGAGGTTTCAACGAGCGTTGGCTAGCAGAAGACAAATACAAGCCATGGCTAAGACGAGGGTCAAGCCCACGAGTAGCCTCCTGCAAAGTTTGCAAAAATAACGATGCGAGAGTCTGCGCTGACGAGCCACATGAAAGGTACGCCGTAGTAGAGCATTTTAGATTAGGCTAACGTTGTATGTTACGTTTGTTTAAGCTAACGTTAGCTAGCTGAATAGCGAACTCGATGAGGGATAACAATAATTGCAGGGGACAATCATTTCAGAGGAGCGTACCTATGTTATGTGCGTTACAGTCGCCATCCTGTGGTCTTCAGAGGATGAAGCACTCACGGCATTTCGTGTTATAGTCACGAAATATAATTTATTGATTCGACACAGAGCGATTTTAAAAGCAATGTATTTCTACTGGTAGTATGTTTCGTGCCTAAACCAAATGTGACTTGATCTATCGAAATCAGTCGCATTGACCCGAAGACACATTTTCGTTTGTATTACTGGTCTGGGGGAAGCTCGCGAGTGTGTGTGTGTGTTTGTGTACCGGGGAAACACTCACAAGAAACACCGGCTGTTGTTATGCCTGCTGTGACGTTACATTAGTCCGTTCTCTGCTTGTAATTATGCCGAAGCTTCAAAGCTGTATTTATCATCTGCATTTGCCGAAACAAGTTTAATATTCTGAAAGCCAAGACTTTGTTTATTTGAAAACAGATGAAAACAAACTGTCTTTTATATAAAATTGAAGTATTATTCAAGTAAAACTACATTTTGCTTTAATCCCATGTAATTGTAGAATGAACACAGTCTTCCTTTGAAGATGTATAAGTCAGGCGTCTTGAGTAGCATTACCTACAAATCATTGTACACATTTGTAAATATTATTTTCCACTTGTTACCATTGTGAGTCTATTTTTATGCAGCTCTGCGTGATTTTGTGGCTACAATTCAGACTAATACACTGCCAGAGGTGGAATAAGTACTCAGATATTGTACTTGAGTAAAAGTAGAAGTACTCAGATCTTGTACTTGAGTAAAAGTAGAAGTACTCAGATCTTGTACTTGAGTAAAAGTAGAAGTACTCAGATCTTGTAGTGAAGTTATAAGTACTCAGATCTTGTACTTAGTAAAAGTAGAAGTACTCAGATCTTGTAGTGAAGTTATAAGTACTCAGATCTTGTACTTGAGTAAAAGTAGAAGTACCAGAGTGTAGGAATACTCTGTTACAGTAAAAGCATTCAAAATGTTCCTCAAGTGAAAGTAGAAAAGTATTCTCATCAAAATATAGTGAAAGTAGCGACAGTAAAAGTAGTCATTGTGCAGATTAGTCCATTTCAGAATAATATATATGATATGTTTTATAATGATTGATCATGAAAGTGTTCTCAAAGCTGGTAAAGGTGCAGCTAGTTTGAATGACTTTGTATACTGCAGGGTAGCTTGTGGATTTACTCCAGGTGGAACTAAAGTCTGATTTAACACTTGATTATATTTCACATCATTCATCCACATCTGTGAAGTAACTAAAGGTATTAAATACATGTAGTGAAGGAAAAGTACACCATGTACCTCTGACTTATGTTCACTGCCAACCTAAAAGTACCTCAACAATAGTAATCAATAATGTATTGAAAAGTTATTTGGCTGATTGTTGTATATCGGCTCAGCCAGGTTATATGGGATGCCCAGTCTACGTACAGATCACTCATTTTGAAATATTAAACTTAGTTTTATTTTTCTTTAATTGTTCATCCTCGTGTAGAAGGCTATCACGAAACACACATTTGGTTGTTTATAGCATAAAGAACATCTGATTTAATGTGAGGGAGGGAAATAATCATTTGAGTATGTGCATATAAATATGTAATTTACAACAGCTGTAAGCTGCTTGAAAAGCTTGAAAATGCACCTTGAAAATGCTTGAAAAATGCTTGAATTTGACTTTGGAAAAGGTGTAAGAACCCTGAAATAAGGAGTGAGAGTGACGACACGTAGCCAAAACCGGAAGCTGCATACCACCAAGGTGGCTACCATTAGCAGCTAACTTTTGTGATCCGATTTTTACATAAAAATGGAATTATGGATTATAAACAATTGCTTAAAAGCCACAGATACATTATCAACCTATGGATCAACCGATTCAGCCGCGTTTTTTCTTTCTCGTTTTAATGCCATTGAACACGTCTTTTGATCAGATTGACATCTACGGTGAGACGATCTCCCGTAAAAGCTCCGTAAAAGGTACGTGTTGTGATGTCTGTGTTAATTAGGGATGTGCATCCATCACTGAGGCCGATGCGATGCGCATCTCGATACGTTGCCACGATACGATACATTAACGATACATTTGAAACACCAGGCGATGCGATACGATACGATTCACCCCTGTTGCGATACAGTTCGATACGATTTGATTCAACATTATGCGATTCGGTGCGATACGATGCGATTCAACACGATGCAAAAATAATGATACTTCAATTTGGTACGACAGAGGATTTTTGTTTTATTCCTTATATGCAGCAAATCATACATTAACAAAAAAGTGCTTTACATATTTGGTACTGCACATCCCATCATGCCGTTTATTTTGTTACCTTTAAAAGCTCTCCAGAGTACAATTGTATAACACCTCACAGTTAAACAATGTAAGGATGCATTGCTCATGATTAACAATGTGCAAATAACAGCTACCATAGAGCAATGCCCATACAGCTGCCAGCCTGATGTGCTTAACACTCATTCATAGGCTAACTCACCAGTGAGCAGAAAGCGGTGGGTTCTATATGAACAATAAATAATACAAATAACCTTTCACAAACAGGTATTTCATAACTGCTTACAGTGAGGAATACATTTAAATTATTATTGGCCGTCACAGGCTGCTGTAAACTAAACACCACTCTCTCTGACAGAACACCTCACTGAGTGATTTAACTCATATATATGTCTAACTTTGAGGTTTCTCTTTTCAGCCGCAGACCCCATGTCGACTCTTTATGTGCGTCGCTAAATTCCTCGTACTACTTGTGTACTTTAAATCGGCTCGGCATCGTTAACAATTTGCGAGCGATTTTTCAAGTTGACCGTCTGTAGTATAGAGTGCCGCGCACATATACCATCAGGACGTTACTGATGGGGTGCGGCTGCGGAGTGATACTGTGTGTATGCAAGCCCGCATCTAGGACGGATCTATGTATCATGGCTGTAGACCTGTTAAGTAATAAAGATACCTCATACAAAAGTCTACGGATACCTTATTACTCTCCATGACCTGCGGTCAACTATATAGCCTAGCATAAAGGACTATTACACCGTCTTTCTTGAACAATCCGAAGTGTTACCAAACGTTTGATTTGTAGGTATTTTTCGGTGCGCTGTGTTTCTCTTTCTCCTCGACTTCCGTGTGTGTTGATAACTGAGACTCTCGGCCTCCGTAGTGGCGAAGCAAATATCAAAGATCGTCTCTGCTGAGCGTTGACAAGATTAGGGGATTTTATATGAATGAATCGGTTTTTTACCGATGCAAAGACGCTACGCAATCGATGCATCGCGAGTTCAACCCGGTTCAACCCAAACTGTAGCCGATGTGCACTCTTTCAACCGGTGCACTCGCATCTTGAACGTTTATGCCGGTGCACCGATGCGAATCGGTGAATCTTAACATCTCTACTGTGTTTGCTTTCCCTGTTGCGAGATCGGATCGCTTAGATACTATACTTAAATAATCTGTGGAGTCTCAGCTTTAATCGGATATATTGTATGTGCAGTTTCGATAAGTAATAAGGGTATCTTTATTTTGAATTCTGTGCTAAAGTGCGTTAGCATTTAAAAAAAAAAAAAAAGAATAAAACCGCACGTCCCTGCGGTGTGAATAGCGCGCATGCGCATACCGCGGTTATCGCCATGACACGGTATATCGTTCAGCCCTAATATGCGTACACACTCACACAAATATATTTATCAGCGGTGAACAAAAATGTCTCAAATGTGTTCATTAGAAGACACTGTTGATGCAAACCTCCGTTCAGCAGCTTGGATGTTCCCATCTTTTACAACCATCAAATTAACTTTAGTTTCTCTCTGTCTCAGCTGCAGTCCTTCAACATCCATGGTCAGAAAGGAGAGGATCCTACTGGACTGGTGCTGTGTGATATCGTGGGTTTGGGGGGCGGAGAGATGACTGCACTGACCCTCCATGACATCCTGTCTGTCATTAAAGGTCATGCACCAGAGGGGCACAAAGTAAGCAGGATAAAAATGACATGTTCTAGTTCGTAGCTTGCAGCTTTACCCAATGACCGTTGTTTGGTCAAGATGAAAATATCTCACTATTTGTACAGACATTCATAATTTCCCAGAGGATACATCCTTACTCACTTTGTTGATCGTCCGACCTGCGCCACCATGAGGTTAACAGTTCTATTTCGTCCCTACTGACCGGCAAAGGCGGTGCTTTTAGCACTGGATATGTCCATCGCACGCATGCGCAGTTCAAGTACCTAATAACAACAAAGTCACCTGTGACCCACGTGACTACGGCTACATAGGCCGGCGTCACTAGTGGATCGGTTCCTTTTCATCTTCTCGCTTCGCGAGAGTACCGCGGCTACATTCTTGTAGCCTACAGCGTTCAGGTTTGAACGTTTGATCTGAGGGATTTCTCTGCAAGCAGCTATGGAAAGCCCAGTGTGCCATATTTTGCCCGTTTTTTGTTTAGATGCAGAGAGTAAGGTAAGTACTGGCCATAGTTACTACTAACTATGGTCCTAGGCCATGTAAGCACTGGCCATGGTTATACTGTGACCATGGCCTACGGTTTTATGTGGGCTGTTCTATTCCATAGAAGCTAATTATCTGGTCTTAATAGGGGTGTAACGGTTCACAGAAGTCACGGTTCGGTTCATACCTCGGTTTGGGGGTCACGGTTCGGTACGGGTTCGGTACAACAAGGAAAAGCAAAATAAAGTCCCAAATGCATAATTTTTTTGCTGTTATTTATTTTTAACAGTAGTGCAAGTTTTGGTATGAAAATAAGGAACTCTAACATTTGGAATCATTAACTGTATTACACAGTTAAAAACAAACCACAAACAGTAACACACACACTCAGATGGCCATATTATTTATAATGGCTAATGTCAAACACAAAGGTTAAATAAGCTGTAAAACTAAAAAGAATGTCTTGAACATATTAAAATAAATAATAAGAAAGTGTTTCAATCACAATCAATAAAAGGCAATACAGAACTGTATAACATCTCCTGATAATTTAAACCCTATAAATAGATTACCTTTATTCCTTCAACTTATGTTCACAGACACTTATCTTTTCAAATATTCTGAACAGCAAGTATATCTTCAATATCTTCGAATCTAGGCAAAAGGCGAGTCTGATGAAGACTGTCAGCTCCTACAGGCCGAGCTGTCACGAGGGGACTCAGGCTCCTGATGTCAAAATATAAAATAAATACAATGATAAATATAAAACAAAATAAAATCTGTACCTTTAGGAGCAATGTCTAACATGTATAATTAACTTGTGTGTGAGGCCATTATGCCTAAATAAAGGTACTCAAGCTTTACTCTATTTTCAAGTTTTTCTTCAAAAAGATGAGTTTGTCTACGTTGTCAGTAGTGAGGGCAGATCTGTTGGCGGTAACTATGTCACCTGCCATCCAGAAAACCCTCTCGCTGGGGACTGAGACTGACTCGGATGTGATTGAGCATGTTTGACGTGTTACCACGTTACCACCAGCATACCGCACCGCTGTCGAACAACACCGACACACCGTCCTCGTCCGATCCACAACTCGCACCCCATCATTGTTGTAGTCCACAGGGAACCCGAAATGTTCCCACAAACCTGATTTAAAAGAAGCAGGTGGGTCTTCTAGCTCCTGTGTGTTGTGTGAACTCGCCGTAGCTACTAACTTTTCTTCTTCATGTATTGTGTTCGTTTTGTTGTGTTTTGTTCTTGTTCTTCATTTGTTATTTACGGACGGCTGGCTTTTAGGCGCAATACCGCCCCCTGGATTATATATAGTGTAATACTGCCCTGAGTGACAGACTTTTTTCCCACTCATAAAAAAAGGCGTATTCGCCGTGTGACGGCATGTGCCGAACCGTGACGTCCGAACTGTGACGTCCGAACCGTGACGGTACGGGACGAATACGGATACCGTTACACCCCTAGGTCTTAACATTGTGTTTTGACTTGGTTGCTTGATTGTTAGCAGCAGCCGCTTGGCTAACACCTTGCATGTACTGTTAAGCTTCATTATTTAACTCAGCCGGTGAGGGCGGTGCTCTCGCTCCCGCTCCCGGTAACGTATGGTTTTGATTGCAGTAGCGCTATATCGTGGTATTTACTGCTCCTAGTACTAGACTCTAGTCTACTACTACTGTACTAGGATGATATGCAGAGAACAAGCTTCACTGGGTGTGCTGTGTGCTCTGCATGTGTGGCCATTAAAGAGGATTTCATCCTCCCAATATTATATTATCTAGGGTGCAGCCGTTGGCTGACACTTTTAGGCACCGGCCACAGTTACTACGGTTCTAAGCTGTGTAAGTACTGGCCAGAGTTACTACTGTAACTACGGTTCTAAGCCGTGTAAGTACTGGCCAGAGTTACTACTGTAACTACGGTTCTAAGCCGTGTAAGTACTGGCCATAGTTACTACTGTAACTACGGGTCTAAGCCGTGTAAATACTGGCCATAGTTACTACTGTAACTACGGTTCTATGCCGTGTAAGCACTGGCCATGGTTACTGCTGTAACTACGGCTCTGTGCTGTTCTCTTCTTTAGAAGCTAGTTAGCTGGTCTTAAACATTTGTGTTTGACTTGATCTCGCTTGATTGTTATTAGCAGCCGCTTGGCTAACGACTTGCATATACTGTTAAGCTTCATTATTAACTCAGCTGGTGAAGGCAGTGCTCTCGCTCCCGCTCCCGGTAACGTATTGTTTTGATTGTTAGCAGCAGCCGCTTGGCTAACATCTTGCATGTTTTGTTACAGCTTCTTTATTTAAACTCAGCTGGTGAAGGCAGTGCTCTCGCTCCCGCTCCCTGTAACTTATTGCTCTGATTGTTAGCAGCGGCCGCTTGGCTAACATCTGGCGTGTTCTGATGAGCTTCGTTGTTTAAATCATCCAGTGAAGGCAGTGTTTTTCGCCCCCGCGCCTGGTAGACGTGCTGCTTGATTCTTAGCAGCAGCCGCCTGGCTAAGCTGCCCGTTAAGCTTCTTTATTTAATCCAGCTAGGTGAAGGCAGTGCTCTCGCTCCCGCTCCCTCTGCCGGTAACGTGGGTGTAGTTACATCCCTCTCTGTGTTCGGCGAGTAGGAGCATCGCTCTACAATTTCCGTTCAGCAGGTAGCCGGTGAAGGCTGTGTTCTCGCACCCGCTCCCGGGTACGCTGCACCTGGCTTTCGTTATGAACTCAACCAGTGAAGGCAGTGTTCTCACCCCCGCTCCTGGTAGACGTGTTGCTTGATTCTAGCAGCAGCCGCCCGGCTAAGCTGTCCTGTTAAACGTCTTTATTTAATCCAGCTAGGTGAAGGCAGTGCTCTCGCTCCCGCTCACTCTGCCAGTAACGTGGGTGTAGTTTCATCCCTCTTTGTTTTCGGCAAGTAGGAGCATTGCTCTACTCTTTCCGTTCAGCAGGTAGCTGGGGAAGGCTGTGTTCTCGCGCCCACTCCCGGCTACGCTGCATCTGGCTACCTATAGACTGGCTCATTCATGTAGCGCCTGTATGGCTTCTCTTGAGCCAGAGGACGGCCATGACCGGTGCCCCCCTCTGCCTTGGCCTCGAGCATTTGAGGGAGGGTCTCATGCAAAGCGCCTGCATGAGCTGTAGATTCATGCCTCGGGCGCTCAAAGTGGCTAGAGTCACAGAGGTGGCACCTCTCCTCATCACAACTTCCTCCAGCTCAGTCTGACCGTTCCCGGCGACTTGATGGAGGGATGGCTATGGGTTCAACCCCCAGGTAGAGGGCTAGAAACAGGCTGTCCTCTAAGGTGGGTCGGTTAGCTGCCGTCATGGAGCAGACGAAGTCGCTCCTGTTGGCCCTTCAGCCAGGGGCCGGTGCGGGGGCTACTAGCTTGCCGCCTGGCCCTCCTTCGGTTGCCACACCTCTACTTGAGGATGCCATGTCGCTAGCGGCTCCGGACAAACCTCTTCTATGAAGGGGGGGGGGGGGGGGCGGACTTTGACCGTCTAGTCATTGTTGGTGATTTTAACATCCATGTTGAATGACAACCCCCAGGACAGAGGGGCTAAAGAACTGTTTTGTGTTCTTGATAGCTATGGACTGACTCAGCATGTGACGGAGCCCACGCACAATAAGGGGCACACTCTGGACTTAATTATCTCAAAGGGTCTGAATATCTCTAAGGTTGTGGTGACTGATGTTGCACTGTCTGACCATTCCTGTGTTTTCTTTGAGAGCTCTATTTCTGTTCACAAAAATGTTCAAAAAGAGGTAACCACAAAGCGATATTTAACTGAAAATACTAGGGAAATGTTTGCTCCCTAGTTCTACCACACTTGCCCCTGCTAACATCTCAGTAAATGAGCTAGTAGATCATTTTAATTCAAAAATTAAAAATGTTATAGATGCCATTGCTCCAACTAAGGTAAAGGAAGGGTCTGGCAAGAAAATATCTCCATGGAGAAAGGCCATGACCGTGAAAACAGAAAAAAGAGAATGTCGAAAAGCTGAACGCAGGTGGCGAAAAACAAATCTCCAGGTTCACTTTGACATTTATAAAGAGAGACTTGGCCTTTATAATTAGGAATTGAAAAACGCACGACAATCGTTCTTCTCTGACATCATTACCAAAAACAAAAACAACGCACGTGCCTTGTTTGCTACCGTCGACAGACTAACTAACCCCCCAGTGTCAGTAGCCTCTGAATTTCTATCCACCAGGGCGTGCAATGATTTTGCCTCCTTTTTCACTGACAAAATTCAGAAAATCAGACAAGCAGTCAGTGCCTCTGCATCAGGAACAGCAAATGTGTTGTCCCTATGTCCACCTAACATCAATTCAAACACCATGACACAATTCCATCAGATTAATGATAAAAACCTAGAGGACATTATTCAACTTCTGAAATCCTCCTCCTGCTGCCTTGATATTATTGCAACAGGATTTTTCAAAGATGATTTGCCTTGCATGGCCTCAGATCTACTTCATATAGTAAACAAATCTCTTCACTCAGGTATTTTTCCACAGGCCCTGAAAACTGCAGTCATTAAACCGCTCTTAAAAAAGAATAATCTAGATGCTTCAGTAATGAACAATTACAGGCCCATATCAAACTTCCAATTTCTAGGTAAAATCATTGAAAAAGTTGTTTTTCAACAGTTGAGTAATTTCTTGCATTTAAATAACTGTTTCGATGTGTTCCAGTCAGGCTTTCGGCCAAACCACAGCACTGAGACTGCTCTTGTAAAGGTCTTTAATGACATCCACTTAAACACAGACAGTGGCAGAACTTCAGTGTTAGTATTATTAGATCTCATTGCTGCGTTTGACACTGTTGACCACAACATATTACTAGACCGACTGGAAAACTGGGTGGGACTTTCGGAAACAGTTCTAAATTGGTTTAAATCCTACTTAAAGGACAGAAACAACGTTGTTTCTATAGGTAAATACACATCTGAGTTGACAATTATGACATGTGGGGTTCCTCAAGGCTCCATCTTGGGGCCTCTTCTCTTTAACATCTACATGCTACCACTGGCTCAGATAATGAAAAACAACAAAATAAGTTACCATAGCTATGCAGATGACACACAAATTTACGTAACAATTTCACCAGGAGACTATGCTCCAATTCAAACACTGAGTAAGTGCATTGAACAAATAAATGACTGGATGTGTCAGAACTTTCTCCAATTAAAACTGAGGTAATGGTTTTTGGAGCCAAGTCAGAACGTATAAAAGTTAGCGCTGAGCTTCAGTCTGCAATGTTCAAAACAACAGATAAAGCCAGAAATCGAGGTGTAGTCATGGACTCTGACCTGAGTTTCAACAGTCACATTAAAACAGTTACTAAATCAGCCTACTATCACCTAAAGAATATATCTAGGATTAAAAGACTAATGTCACAGCAGGATTTGGAAAAACTTGTCCATGCTTTTATCTTTAGTAGACTGGACTACTGCAATGGTGTCTTCACAGGTCTCACTAAAAAATCAATTAGAAAGCTGGAGCTGATTCAGAACGCCGCTGCTCGAGTCCTCACTAACACTAAGAAAGTGGATCACATCACTCCTGTTCTGAAGTCTTTACACTGGCTTCCTGTGTGTCAAAGAATAGATTTCAAAAATATTGCTACTGGTTTATAAAGCACTGAATGGTTTAGGCCCAAAATACATTACTGACCTCCTGCTAAATTATGAACCATCCAGATCTCTCAGGTCTTCAGGGACTGGTCAGCTTTCTGTCCCCAGAGTCAGAACTAAACACGGGAAATCAGCGTTCAGTTATTATGCTCCAAATATCTGGAACAAACTCCCAGAAACCTGCAGGTCCGCTGCAACTCTGAATACTTTTAAATCCAGGCTGAAGACTTTTCTTTTTGTCGCTGCTTTTAATTGAACTATTCATATCTTAAACTGCACTGTAACTTTTATCCATGTATTTTTTCTTTTAATGTTTATTTTATTAGCTTTCTTTTTAATGACTGATTTTAAATGCCCTTTTCTTAATGTCTTTCATTTTTTGTAAAGCACTTTGAATTGCCTTGTGTTGAAAAGTGCTATATAAATAAACTTGCCTTGCCTTGCCTTGCCTTGCCTTGCCTTGCCTTGCCTTGCCTTGCCTTGCCTTGCCTTGCCTTGCCTTGCCTTGCCTTGCCTTGCCTGCTTGCCTTGCCTTGCCTTGCCTTGCCTTGCCTTGCCTTGCCTTGCCTTGCCTTGCCTTGCCTTGCCTTGCCTTGCCTTGCCTTGCCTTGCCTTGCCTTGCCTTGCCTTGCCTTGCCTTGCCTTGCCTTGCCTTGCCTTGCCTTGCCTTGCCTTGCCTTGCCTTGCCTTGCCTTGCCTTGCCTTGCCTTGCCTTGCCTTGCCACTCCTCTGCTCAGAGCTCTCTGCAGGGCACAGAGGACGCCTTCATGGCGGCCATTATTTGTGCGGCCCTGGTACGCTTGCAGCTTCAGGTTCCGCAGGCCGACTCGGCTCAGGCTAGCGCCTTTTTCAGGCATAACCCTGCCCCTTTTCACTCCAACTGTTCCTCCTTCAGAGGAGTACCTGAGGGAGCTCCATGCAGGCTGGAGAGACACCAGGGCCCTCTTCCACTCTGTTGCCAGGCAGGATCCGGCGAGGGTGGGGCTGGGTCGCTTGCCATCCATTGAGCCTGCCATCGCCTCCCCGATTCGGGCTCCTGATGCCAGGTGCCCTCGGCCTCAGTGCAGGGTCACAAACGAGCTGCTCTGTAGGGCCTACGACACAGCGGGCACGGGAACTCCCTCTCCCATCTGATACTGGCTTTCTCTACCTCTCGGCAGCAGGCTCCGGCTGAGCCTTCTTTGCTGGGCCTCAGTGATGCATCACTGTAAGCCTTTGCCCTAATATCTAGGGAATGGGGACGAGTTATGTCCTTATTGGTGCAGACTCGTCGCCAGGTTTGGCCTACTCAGTCACCACTGTCGGAGACATGTCCTCCATAGTGAGCCAGTCGAGCCAGGGGAGCTGTTTGGGGCAGCTGCCCTGGTACTGGAGCGTGCTGCCTAAGCTAGGCAGACCAGGCAGCAGCTCTCGGGTCTTTATAGGCCTGTGCCCACTCCCAGCAGGCCCAGGGGCCCCTCTAGCAGCCGCTCTCAGCCACCAGCTTACAGTGGTGGTCTGCGCAGGTCCCAGCGCCCCACTCATCCACCTCCATGGGGCTTTCGTGCTGCCGGCCTTCTAGGCGGCCTCGTGCCTCAGAGCCTTACTGGCACCCCCCAGGGGACTCCGGAGGCTGGGGGGTTAGGCCCCGAGACTCTCGGGGACGGTCGTCGGCTGCTTTCCCAGCAGTAGCTCAGTTACTGGGCTGTCTGTACTTCCGGCCCTTGGGTGGTTTTCACCTTAACCCAGGGGTACGAACCGCAGTTCCGGCCCCTAGCCTTCGGCCGGGCCAAAATGACAGTCGTCAGCGATCCGGCAGAGGCCCTAGCTTCTGGCCCAAGAGTTGTCCGTCCTTCTGTCCAAGGACGCAATCGAGCCAGTAGACCCTCTGCTTAGCACAGGGGGTTCTACTCGGCGTACTTTCTCGTGAGCAAGAAAGTTGGCGGATTTCGCCTGATCTTGGACCTCAGAGGAATCAACAGATTCCTGAAGGTGCTGCCACTCTATATGCTGACCACAGCACATGCACAGCCGTGGACTTGAGGGATGCCTACTTCCACGTGGGCCGGGCAACATGGTGCCTTATATTCAGTTCCTTCGGCCCTTGGGCAGGCTGCCTCTGCCATTGGGCCCGCTGGCGTTGCGCCCCATGCAGATGTCGCTGAACAGCCTTCACTTGGATGCCAAGTGGCACAGGCGCAGGGAAGTCAGGGTGTCGCAGCGTTGCCTCCACTCTCGGTCACACTGGAGGGGCAGGGCCTATCATCTCCTCCCTTCGAGCCCCTGGCCCAGGTGGAGCTTAAGTGGCTGTCCTTAAAGGCAGCATTTCTGCTTTCCATGACCTCAGGGAAACGAGTTGGAGAGCTACATGCCCTCTCCGTGAGCCATACATGCCTGAGGTGGAACTCCGATGGCTCGGATGTTGCCCTCTGGCCGAACGTGGCGTTCCTGCCCAAGGTGCTTCCACTAGCCCACTCCAATCGGCCTATCCAGCTGGCGCGCTTTAACGTCCCACAGGAGAACGGCACACTTGAGTTGCTGTGCCCTGTGCGTGCCCTAGAGGCGTATATTGGTGCTACGGCCCATATATGACAGTCAGAGCAGCTCTTCATTTGCCATGGCGGCACGAGAAGGGGCTGTGCTCTCTCCAAGCAGCGGCTGTCCCACTGGGTTGTGGATACAATCTCACATGCCTATGGGGCCAGTGGCCGCCCCCCGCCATCAGGGGTGAGATGTCACTCTACAAGGAGCATCTCAACATCTTGGGCTGCCCTGAGAGGGGTATCCCTGGAGACCATCTGCGCTGCGGCGTCGTGGGCATCGTCTGGCACATTCTCCAGATTCTACCGGGTCAATGTCGCCACTCCCCATCCTTTGGGCGTGGTCCTGTTGCCGAGCTCCGCTGCTTCCAGCTAGGTAAGCAAGTGTTCGGATTCTTCATGATATGGTTGGTATAGTCATCCAGTGCTAAAAGCACCGCCTCTGGCGGTCAGTAGGGACGAAATAGAACGATAGTTACGGCTGTAACTACGGTTCTATGAGTCCCGGATGACCGCCAGAGTTTCCGGTCACTCAGAATTCTTGTGTGCTCGCGAGAAGATTCTGGGAACCAATCCACTAGTGACGCGGGCCTATGTAGCCGTAGTCACGTGGGTCACAGGTGACTTTGTTGTTATTAAGTACTCTAACTGCGCATGCGTGCGATGGACATATCCAGTGCTAAAAGCACCGCCTCTGGCGGTCATCCGGAACTCATAGAACCGTAGTTACAGCCGTAACTATCGTTGGGTTCATAGAGAAGTAACTGACTCCAACCTAAAACCCATGGTTACCGTAATTATTAACAGCCACGTAAATAACAAATCCCAGAACTGAACATGAAGTAGCCCAACACAGACCGTGGTTCAATCTGTATTTGCTTTTGTCTTTGCAAAACCTACCTCAACATGAGTTTTTAAAAAAAAAATGTAACATCCTCTTTCTCTCCCAGTTTAGCGCAGATCAACCAGTGCGGTCTGAGACTGTGGGCTATATAAAGAAGCCAGGTCTCAAAGACAAGATCCATTGTGTTGCCTTTGTGGTAGATGCCTCTAAAATCCTGACCTACCCCAAAGGCCTCGGCACCACCTTCAGGCTGCTCCGAAAGCACATCAGTGACCTGGGTAAGTCAGGGACACATTATCAGTCCAATACAAAGACATTTTCAAACATAGATGAACTACTTTTAAAGACCAAATGGGCTTTGACTTGTAATATGAATGTTGTAGAGCTGTTCTTCTGTCACTCTGTCAGTTCCTGCCGAATCTGGATGTTGTTTTAATGCACTGCTTTGAAGTTTCACTGACCTTTTATGTATATATTTTGGGAGATTTTGTTGTGGTTACAATTGCTGGGCACTGATGTTCATAATAACTTTGGGCTTGAAATCCTCTTTACAGGATTTACTAAACAAAAGCACTGTTGAAATGTCAACTGTCAGTGATTTCTTTCTCTGCAATGTAACAAATTAAAGCCTTTTTTGTAGTGACATCTTATTGACAGCATTGTATTGTATCTGCTAGACATTCACCAGGTGGCCCTGCTGACCCAGATAGACCAAATTTGTCCAGAAACGGCCAAAGATGTCACCCAGGTTTACAAGAGCCGCATCATTCAGGACATGGTAGGTTTCAAAAATATGAAATAGACAAAGTATATCCATCATAGAGGAAGGTATGATCACCATGCAGACTACAAGTGGGGAAGTTTTACCAAAATGAGTGTGTGACCAGTTTAGTTTCCTGTGATCTGTAGCATAATGGAACATTTGACTTTGTGGTGCTTGTTTATAAATATATATATTTTTTAGGTGCACATCATTAAATTACAAGCTAAAGCAAAGTCACATGACTCACTAGTCACATTAGATTTTTAGACAAAGGGAAAGATCATCATTGATCTGCCATTCAAACATATACATGAAACATTTAGTTTGGTGAGGTAAGACACATAAAAAGCCAAATTACAGCCTGAAACTATTTTAACATTCTTGTTTGGACCTTTTTATTATTTATTTGCTATTTTTCAACTCTCAAATTGAGGACTACTTGCCCTGTTTTGATTATTTCTGTCTGGCTTTATAATAATGATAAACAAATAACTTTTGTGAGAGTTAAGAACAACGTAACACTCACTCCTTACACACCACAGGGCTTGAGATGATAACTTTTCTTTAATTTAGCCATTGCATCTTTCTCTGCTTAGGGAATAAAAATACAGATGTGGTGTAAATCTTAGTCATGTGTTTGTGTTTGTAGATGAATAAAGCTGGGGATCTGTTGGGTATGTCCACCTCCTACATTGTCCCGGTGAAGAACTACTCATCAGAGCTGAAGCTGAACGTGAACAACGATGTGCTTCTGCTTAGAGCTGTGGACCACATCCTGCAGTATACTGACCTGTATTTCCAGGACAATGCACCACAACACACAGGGCCAAAGAACGATTTGGGGATTTAGCGTGTAGCATTTAAAAAGTGTCGGAGCAACTTTAAGCTGTTTTTTCAAAGCTACAGAATGTAAGTGCTACATGTAATAGATCATGTAACATATAACACTCATTATGTCTTTAAATAAAACTGAATATAATCAGAAATGTGTGATGTTTGTATTTGTTAATGTGATCTGTTCTTTAATACAAGGTCAATGGTCCAGGAACAGCATTGTTTTTGAGTGGCACAGAGTGGGTGTAAGTCGTCCCATACTTTGTCTTTCTGTAGGGGGTAAAGACATTTACAAGTGGTTGCCTTACCGTATTCACAATGGCATCATTATCATGGCTGAGCACCTAACTGTGAGGTTCAATAATTTTGTTTTCGATTGTATGATTTTTTTTCTCACTCTCAGGGTCTATTGCATGTAGCTCTACGGGTGAACATCCTCTCTTACCAGTATAATTCACACAATGTACAATATTTAAATATATTTAAATATTTAACATTGTCACTTTTTATAGCATCTACTGTTTATATCAACTGTATTTCCAAACCTTAATTTAAAATCTGTATTCACATTGTTGTTTTGATTGTCTGGCAGCAGGACATGTGAAGTTTTTAATTTTAACGTGATGGTAGCAAAATTGTAAATGAAACCTATGAAAAGCCATACATGATTAGAATATATCTTACGAATGGGATGGTGCTTCTTCAAGGTCTAGTGTTTTTTTTAACAGATTGGGCGAGGGTGTGGTGAATCCTATTTCAAACACGTGCAAACTTGCCTCATAAAAAAAGTATAGCCTACGTTTATTATAAAGTAAGGTCTCCAGTATGAAGCCCATTGTGTGATAAAAAGTGTCATTATGTGACAACTGGATTCAGGTTCAATTTGAACTAAATGGAACTAAAGGAAGAAAACACTAGGGAGTTTCACATGTTCAGGATACACAGCTTTATTAGAGACAAACTTCAGTTTTATTTTGAAAGCCAAATTACCGGAGAATATCTACTACTACTTTCACTTTCGTTTCTCAATTTCTGAAACCACATTTCTGCACATCTCTACCGTAGCTGGTCAAGATCCTCAAGTATCTAGATAGAACATAAGAAGGTAAGTTTAAAAAAGAACAACGGATTACATTTTGCCAAAGTTTTATATGAAATTGAAGGGTGGTCGATCACATCTTGATTTGAACCTGAACTGAGGAACAATCAATATTGTTGTTTTAGTGGCAAGAGGGAACTGTTAAAACTAGGGCTGTCAGTCGATTACAAATATTTAATTGCGATTAATCGCATGATTGTCCATAGTTAATCGCAAATTAATCGCACATTTTTGATCTGTTCTAAATGTAGGCCTACCTTAGAGGAATATTTTTCAAGTTTTTAATACTCTTATAAACATATGAGTGGACCAATATGCTTTATGCTAATGTTTATTATCATTTGAACAATGACAAATATTTTCATGAATATTAAACAACAACCTCTGAACATTACAAATATTCGCCTCAATTCAACCTGGAACCTCTCTCATACAATTACAATACAAATGGTGTGTGTGTGTGTGTGTGTGTGTGTGTGTGTGTGTGTGTGTGTGTGTGTGTGTGTGTGTGTGTGTGTGTGTGTGTGTGTGTGTGTGTGCAACACGTTCTCACTCCCATCCCGTCACATATTGACGGACGGTCAGGGCCCCTCCCCGTCGCTATGTGACGTACGGGGTACCCCTTGCCCGTCAGGCTTCTACGGGCAGGGCGTCCCATAGACCTTCATTGCGGACAGTGGACCCCTTGACCGTCAGGCTTCTACGGGCAGGGCGTCCCATAGACCTTCATAGACCACGTGATCAACAACAATGGCCGACCTTCGTGTTATTCTCGGTGGAAAAGGCCTATTTTAAGGTTCATTTGGCCAATAAAATGCGTTTTGATGTCATTTTATGCGATTAATATGAGTTGTTATTTCTGATTATTTGTGCAGTACATGTACATGATGTTTAGTTTGCTAGTTATGACGAAGATTACTTCATGAATGTGTACACATTCATGGTTGCTAAGGTGGTTGCTATGGACGCTGCAACAGCTCCCAGACCACGTGATCAACAACAATGGCCGACCTTCGTGTTATTCTCGGTGGAAAAGGCCTATTTTAAGGTTCATTTGGCCATTAAAATGCGTTTTGATGTCATTTTATGCGAGTAATGAGTTTTTATTTCTGATTATTTGTGCAGTACATGGACATGAGGTTTAGTTTGCTAGTTATGACGAAGATTACTTCATGAATGTGTACACATTCATGGTTGCTAACGTTTTTTTGGTGGAAATGTGTTTTTTCACAGCAAAGTCACCCTCTGTCCTTGGACTTATTGGGAGAATTTAAAGGCAAGAACATCCCAAATATTCATTTAGGTCTTTATTTTAGACCTTTAGTGTTGCCGTCTGTGAGGAAAATAAACGGGGCTCAGAGCCTCGTATTTTTAAAATCTTTTTTTCCTTTTAATTTGTTATTTTTCTCAAAATAGCACACTGTTATTTACTCACCAATAACACACAATTATCCTTGCTTTTATTTATTGGTTTAATTCCATAATCTCGGGCTTTTTTGGCGTTCGCCAGGAACTGAATTTCAAAATAAAAATAACCGGAAACAGACGTAGGCATTTCGAGTGATTACCCAAGATCCTCAGCTACGCTGATTGGATGTTTTAGCCGCAATGCATGCTGGGATTTGGTGTTTATATTATATGAAATCCGGAAAACATTTTAAAAGAATAAAATAATACTTAATTCCGAGTGCTCTTGCTTTTCTCTTTGAAAGTTATCACATAACGGCATTGTAATACACGGTTCGGCTGCATTGTATATTACAGATCTGCCGTAGTTCTTTATTTATAGAGCCCTGATGAGAAGACCTTTGGAAAAACTGAAGAAATGCCGCCGAAACTGAATACTTGACGTGGATCATAAATATCTCAACAATTAAACAACATCTTCAATTTCTCTTCACACAATACGTCTCCTTGCAGTATCAACACTAATTCGGCTGACTTTTACATTTGATATAATTCATAGATAGGTTATATTTACACCATAACGGTGCACAGTTTATATAAAAGGACTTGTAGTTTTTAAAGATATTACTGATTAGAATTGGATTGCATTTTGAATGTAAGAATGTAAATACTGAGTCTGAAATAGTATATCAAAACGCATTTTAATGGCCAACTGAACCTTAAAATAGGCCTTTTCCACCGAGAATAACACGAAGGTCGGCCATTGTTGTTGATCACGTGGTCTGGGAGCTGTTGCAGCGTCCATAGCAACCACCTTAGCAACCATGAATGTGTACACATTCATGAAGTAATCTTCGTCATAACTAGCAAACTAAACATCATGTACATGTACTGCACAAATAATCAGAAATAACAACTCATATTAATCGCATAAAATGACATCAAAACGCATTTTATTGGCCAAATGAACCTTAAAATAGGCCTTTTCCACCGAGAATAACACGAAGGTCGGCCATTGTTGTTGATCACGTGGTCTATGAAGGTCTATGGGACGCCCTGCCCGTAGAGCCTGACGGTCAAGGGGTCCGCTGTCCGCAATGAAGGTCTATGGGACGCCCTGCCCGTAGAAGCCTGACGGGCAAGGGGTACCCTGTACGTCACATAGCGACGGGGAGGGGCCCTGACCGTCCGTCAATATGTGACGGGATGGGAGTGAGAACGTGTTGGTGTGTGTGTGAGTGTGTGTGTGTGTGTGTGTGATGGATCGTTGGAGCTATGTGCAACTCAAGGCATATGCTCGAACGGGAGTTGCCTGGACTAGGGTTGCCAACTTCCAGAAATGGAGAAACGGGACACATGCATGTGTCCCCCGCGCGCTTGCGCACAAAGATTTTCGGGTTTCTGACGGATTTAGTTACTTTTTTTAGTTACTCCACCTCCTCACCTGCTGCGACCTCGGTGGGAGGAGGACACAGCTCTTTTAGAATATCCCGAACAGTTTTGGGGCCAAGCACATTGGCTGTTATCATCTCAGCCTTTGTTCTTCCACATTGCATTTTCTTTGCAGTGTTCGAATCACTAAACATGGCACTTGCCCGCTTATTACTGCAGTCCATGCTGTTGTAACTCAAACCATGCTTAACTGTGTGATACACTGATGTTACCTCACATGCAGCAACTTTGTCTTGTTCTGCAGCTGAACTGCCGAAGAATTTAGTTATATTTGATGCACCTTTATTTTGTGTTGCTCGCTTGTGCATTTCTGTGCCAGCATGCTGTTTCAGGTCGTTTTCTCCACCGTGACCTATTGAAAACTCCCTCCGACACAAGGTGCAGAAGACCCGAGACAGATCTCCACTCACGGGCTTTACCCAACTGTGTTTTTCTTCCCACTGTTTGTTGTAAGACACAAGTCTTTTATTGGCCCAGAACCACATCCTCTCTCTCTTCTCCTCTTTCATTATCACCTACTCCACCGGCAGGGCTCATTTTCCCACACGACTGAACAGGCTGACATGCCACACAAAAAATGATGCCGCACACACACACGCACACGCACACACACGCGCACACACACGCGCACACACACACACACACCACACACACACACACACGCACACACACACACACACACACACACCCACACACACACACACACACACACACACACACACACACACACACACACACACACACACACACACACGGTCCTAACGCCCTTCAAATAAAGCACACAAACACACAGGCACGCAGCCAGACACTGAATTGCGCGCAAACAGAAACATGTTTTTTATTTTTCCCTTTACACGGGAGTCCGGGACAAACAAAGTCCCGTACGGGACACGCCCCTTTTGGCTCAAATACGGGGCGTCCCGGCTAATACGGGACGGTTGGCAACCCTAGCATGGACGCGGCAATCATGTTGCACTATCCGAGCTGAGTGTGCTGACTTTTCGTACAATGTCCCACTGTCTGGCTTCCTGCATAAAGTCAAGTGCTCGGCGCAGTTGTGGCGAAATGTCGCTCCTCTGTTTTCATTTAAGGGTCATTCCAGAATTGGAGGACATTTCATGTCGCCCAAAATGCTAAAACATGCACTTGTTGTGTTAAACATACTTGTATTGAGACAAAATGTATATAAAGTTGTAGAAAAAGTGGTCTCAAAATATTATTTAAATTATCAAATAGCTCTCGAACATCCCCTAAAATGGCATTTTTCTCTTGTCCCCGCTTCTTGGTGACCAACTTGCATGTCAAATATAACATTTAAAATAGGGATTTTATTTACTTTTTTTGGTATTATTCTATATGTCTCTTGTAATGGTAAAATCAATTTGTTAAATCATAAACATATTTTAGATAACAGTAATTTTGCACAGAAGGTGTGTCCCTCAACATGCGTTCAACCCTGTTACCCAAACCTTTTTAGATTGGCACAGGAAGTGAACAAACTGTACATCAGATGACACAGTGGAAGTGACATCAGCAAGCCATGTGCTAGTGCCATGGGTAGACCAAAACTAAGTCCTCTCTTTTATTTTTTTTATCTTTTATAAAGAGTGTGGCACTCTGACCCACTCAACCCTGTTACTCATATTATCAGAATAAAGCATATTAATTTCAAAGTTATTTTTCTTGCATTAGATATCCAAGTTTGTCCTTGCCTTGAAAGTAGCATTACATGCTACATCTAGCAATAATTCCTGAGGTTAAAGCTCAAATTAGCATTGATTTTCAACCCTGTTACTTTCAACCCTGTTACTATAATTAGAGTAACAGGGGTAATTCTTAATTGGAAAATATTAATTTGATGCCTAGCTGGGCAAATCACTTTTTTTGATGTTATCTGTTTTTCCTAAATACATACAAAAAATTATAAAATAAAAGGTTCATTTTTCAAAAATGTTGGTGTCTAAATTGTCCTCCAATTCTGGAATGACCCTTAAACAGCTCCTTATATCCGTTAGCGCAGCTAGCTAGCAATAGATGCTAACAACAACAATGCACGTAAGGTCTCTCTCTCGCTCGTGCCACACATACACACACCCTCCCGGTCCTCCCGATGGCCAGTCGGTGCCTGCCGGTGAGCGTGGAAGTGTGGTCTGCCGCAAGCGGGCAGCAGGAGCGGGGCTGTCAGCATCAGCTTGAAGATGGTATTTTAAACTCGATGCGCTCTGAAACTACGGGGCGGCCGAGGAAAAAAAAATACACATGCGTTAATCGCGTTAAAATAATTAGTGGCGTTAATTTTTTTTGGCGTTAACTTGACAGCCCTAGTTAAAACGTATTCGAAGATGATTTGTAACCAAACAAAGAGAGAAAATTAAGGTGAAAATGGGGGGGTGTTGTAAAAACCTAACTTTTATGGCGGCAGTATATTGGCACGTTTCCACTGCAGCAGGTAGCTCGCTTTAAGCGTGCCGAGCCGTGCGGGGCCCGTTTTTGGTTGCGCTTCCACTTGGCCTAGTGTTGGCCCGGGGCTACTTTTTCACCTTTTTTCTGGCCCGACTAAATCGTAATTCTAGGACCAGGAACAACCAGGCTGAGTCGGGCTGAGTATGCTAAACTAGAGAGAGAATCGCTGGCAAGGGGGCTACAACTACAACAAGATGAACATATTTGACCGTGATTTAATTGTAATACACGTTTCAAAATGATGCCGAAGTAACAACATACTGATACCGGTTAGTAAAAACCATGAATTAATGCTTTTACAAGTCTGCAGACAGACGGCAGGCGAAAAACCCTTTTAAAATGCGTGTTTTCTAAACGGAGCTTGGCTAAGCTAACGTTATATATGCTCCGACCGTCCACACTCACAACAACGGCCTATACAGACATAAATAAACCAGCGACTGTATTCGCCATGACACAGGCAGTCTGTGGTGTGTACTTGTTTAACTTTTGTCTAGTTTCTGAACAGATATGAGGAGCTGTGAGTGCTAACAGCTAACGGTTGTGTTGTTTTTTGGGGCGCTCATTGAAGATGACGTAACGGCTCCGCCTACACTGCGTTACTATAGTAACTACCCCAGTTCCTAAACTGTAATGGAAGCGCAGCATTAAAGTGAGCCGGGCCTATATGGGGGTTATTCCCTATCTTTATTCAAGAGCGTGGTATTTAAATTTGAGAGCATACTTTATTGATTTATTTCCCTCAACCCTGTCCTCGCACTCAAACAGTGCCTGCTTGCACTTATATTTGCTCTGCTTCTGCTCAAACTGTACGCTTGCACTCAGATATATTGCTGTTTACAGATTTGTTCTGCTCTCAGATTTATTCTGTGCGCGCTCGAAACTTTTGTGCAACAATCTTGTCAAAATCCCTCAACCAATAGGTGGCCAGGTGTCCTTGCGGGTGCGTTCGCTTTACTTATTACAGCGTCCCGTAAGGGCGGTTACTCTTTGGTTTATAAACTCCCGCCCTCCACGGCTTTATAACATAGCATGTAGCAGACATAGCAGACTGAGACAGGGGTTTAGTGCTACTTGTTTAGATGCCTTTACATCGATTTTGACTGATAATATGCCGTGATTTAATTTGTAACTGTGATTAGCTCAGCTTTTTTAGAGCTATTTAATAATGTACACCTCTACTGATCTATATTCACCTTCCCCATATTGCTCTCTTGCATTACGCTTTAATGATGATGGGATCTTCAATGTTTAAAACGTGTTGAAATGAATTTCAACCACATTCAATGCAAACTGCAAATATTATTTTTTCTTGCTAGATAAAAAAACAACAATGGTCTTTGCATGCTACTCTGATCCAAAGTTTGCTTTTTTCCTTTCACTATACAGTATAAACATATTTTTGTAAACTCTTCTCTGAAGGTATAATTCACATTAATGTCTTGATTGATTTCCCACAATTATGAATAGTTGGATAAAACCAAATCTCTTTGAGTTTGATTAGAAATAATCCACCACCCAACACATATGATGGGGCAGAGGTTGCAAAAATATTTACAGATCGCCTTTTTATTATTCCATGAGAAACTAGTTTTCCCAACAGGTGCCACAGTTGCATTAACAGTATTGCGTGGTTTTCATACATGACCCAAGTAAACAATGTAAATGTTTTTATATATTAAATCAAAGGATACAAATAAGGGGTTTCAACTTTAAAAAATCGATTTCACAATCCATCAATCTCATTTTAATTATCATTTCTCATTTTATGACCAGCTGTCCACCATGAACTCCATGCTAACCAGGAGCAAGCAGAGAACTATCTGCTCCCAGCTGGGAAGAGTCAAACTGCAGCTGCTGTACAAGGCCAGCATCCACGGTTTCACCGGCCCAGCCTTCCACCAACAATGTGACAACCGCTGTCCCACAGTGTCTGTGGGCTATAACGCCTCAGGTTACGTGTTTGGAGGCTACACCAAACAACCTTTCAGTCAGTCTGCGGCCTATGTGAATGATGACCAGGCCTTTCTCTTCACCTTCAGTGGAGAAAAGCTCCTCAAATATCCGGTCACTGTCTCTGGTAATGCAGTGAAAATGATAGCTAACTGTGGTCCATGTTTTGGAGAAGCATTGGTTCTTGTCCATGGAAGCAAAGCAGTTGTATATAGCGCTCCAGGGAATTTTTACAACTTCACTGCTGCTGATATGCATGGGAACGACCTCACCCTGACTGAGTGTGAAGTCTATCAAGTGGAGGGTGAGTTCACGATAATAATCAGTCACAAGTGTTAAATTATATTCAATCATCCACTAGTAATTGATTTTCATCCTATTACTGCCACGTATGCTGTTAGCGTTATTTAGTATGAATGAACTCAAGTAAAACTTCTATCCATCGACTCGAGTCCGAGCCGCCAGAGTTGATCAGATTAAAGAAGAGAAAATATTCCCTCAAATATGATCCAGTTTACCCAAAACCCAATTTGTGCCGTAAAGCCTGACACTTCTCACGTGAGATTGTACGACCATAGTGAAGGAACAGATGTTCAGGGCACAAATTGCCCCAGAACATCTGAGTGAGACTGACAGACGACATTTCCCCTAAAAGTTAAACCATTTAGTTTAAATGATCTTCACCAGTCACCAGGCGGGATCTGTACTTTTGGTATTATCGTTGAACCTATTAAGCTTCATTGGGAGATGTTAATACAACATTTCAGGCAATACAAATGTTTGTTAAAACAATTAAATATGGCATGTCATATTAATGCCAATTTTATTTATTTTTTGCCACGTAAACTCATCTCATAGAAAACGTTGTATCGGTGAATAATATTTTTTATAACATTTGATCAGATTGTTTTTCTCAAAGTTGTGTTTGTTCTTCAACAGAAACCATAGCACTTGAGAGGCCATGGAGGACTATACACTGGGAATCTGTGTAAGAGAGATACCGTCCTTCAAATAATGCTATTATAAGCTTTGCTCTTTACTATACAGTATGACATTAATTACAGTGTGTTAATAATTTTGATATTTAATATGTTCTAAATGCCATGACATGCAAATTAGCTATGTTCGCATAATATACATAATATGCCAGCTTTTTCTTATTATATTAGACTCAGTGGCTGTGCAAAATACTATGCAATGGGATTGTTTGGCATAATCAATTTAATTGACAATAATTGTACCTGCGACCATCACTGGTTCTATCAGATCTATCACAGAGGACAACTTGCTGTGCATAACAATCTGTATCAACCAGGCTTCAAAACAACTGAAAAGCCTTTTAGGTAGAACATTAAAACAAATATTTTCTTGTACAGGAATAGGAACGAGCTAAAGGAGAGTATTAATATCTACCAACCCACAGACAGCTCTGTGTCCCAGGCTCGGGTCCTGCTCATTGGACCAGTTGGAGCTGGAAAGTCCAGCTTCTTCAATTCTATCAACTCTGTGTTCAGAGGCCACGTCACCAGCCAGGCCATGGCTGGCTGCTTCACCTCCAGCCTCACCATACAGGTTAGTTCCTGCCTCTTGATGATATCCTTTTGTTTGATTTGAAAATAAAAATCCCTGTCCTTCATTTTGTGGTTTGTTGTTCCATCTCTTTGTTTGCAACAGTTTCGAACCTACTCAGTGAAAGATGGACGCAAAGGAAAACCTCTGCCAATCATCTTCTGTGATACCATGGGATTGGAGGAAAGCACAGGGGAGGGAATTGATATTGAGGACATCAGCAGCATCCTCAAAGGTCATCTGCCCGACCGTTATCAGGTACAGCTTTTTGTAACATTCAGCAGGACATTTAAGATATGAACCATTGATCTGGCTGTAGTTGACTCAAACTATCTGTGTCTTTCCACTGAACTGCATTTTCCAGTTCAACACCTCTGCTCCTCTGGATTCGGATTCTAGTGGCTATCTGAAGTCTCCTGAGCTTAAGGACAGGATCCACTGTGTGACCTACGTCATTGACGCATGCAAGGTCTCCATCATGCCCCCAAAGCTGGAGGAAAAGCTGAATGCTATTCGTAGAAAGGTCAACTTAATGGGTAAGTTAAATGCACTACCACTTATTTAAAGAGACACTGTGATAGTTGATATTAAGCAGATAATGCAATTCCCACCTTCCCTTGGCCTACGCCTAAGACAGTGGTTTACAGCCATTGGAGCTTCTTGTAGGTGGTTGTATATTTACTGCATCGCTGATCAACACTGCAAACTACTAGCTTACGAGTAAATCCTGAAAGTCAAATTGCAACACAACATTTAAAAATAATTTCAGTAGTGCTACTTTACCTCAATATTTTGACAGGCAGACGTAAATAAATCGACAGTAGTTGGAGATGTTCTTTCTGCTCTGGTGTTTCTAGGGATTCCTCAGCTGATCCTGCTCACGAAAGTTGATGAAGCCTGCCCTTTGGTGAAAGAGGACGTGAAAAACATCTACAAGAGTGGCTACATCAAAGAAATGGTGAGGCTTTTTGTAGGGTTGCAGTGTTTTAATGGCCCAAGCACTGACATGGACCTATTGAAATTCTTTATTTTAACCTTATACTGAGCACTAAATGTTTGCATTGTGAAAGCCTTAACGTTTACCAAAAGTCTATTTCTTTTTTTTAAATTGTAAGGACTGTTGAAAAATGTTTTATTTTAGGGTGTCTCGTTTTCTGGTTGTGGGGAAAAAGCTCTAAAGCGTCCCCTACAAATCTGCTAAAAGGCAGCCCCTCGTGGTGGCTTCACTTACAAGTATGACATTTGGTGGGCATGTAGAGAATGATAGGATGCACAAAAGTGCCTCTTGGTGTCATTTCGTAAACCCAACAGGAAGTCGGCCATTTTGCACTTTTCACATGCCTTATTTGAATGTGAGGCATGAATATTACGATGTCTGTTCTACACATGAGCAACATACTGTTGGTGAAGCGCGTGTTCTCTAGCGCCACATAGTGGAAACCTGAGGTGGTTCAAGATATGCAACACATCATTTCCTGTGCAATGTTCACTGGCGCGGCTGGCCTCCAGCAGTCACGGCAATTAACTGCTATGTGACGTCAACCGGGGCCCTTGAAGTACCACCTTCCATCACGGCATGCTGCTTTAATTTGACTTATTTTTTACCTTAATAGCAAGATATAGAGGCTGACAAGCCAGTCAAAGATTATTTATATCCTTAACTTTGTGTGATCTAATCAGGCTGATTAAAATGATATTGACCGTAAATGTATTGAAGATGTTTTTAACAATAATTTGAGTCTTTCTCTTCTGCTTGTCTTTTACAACCCCTTTTACAATGTTGAACAGACACATGCAAAAACATTTAGCTGTGATTTCACAAAAGCAGACATCATTCTTTCTTGTCTTTAGAAAAAGGCATGAACTAGTTTAATTTAAACCTTTTGTGATTCAGATGCAGGAGGTCAGCGCTCGTCTCGGTGTGCCGCTGTCCTGTGTTGTTCCCGTGAAGAACTACAGCGAGGAGTTGGAGTTGGACCCGGACTGCACTACCCTGCTGCTGAGCGCCATCATCCAGATGCTTCGCTTCACAGACAACTACTTTGATGACATTAGTGACAAATTCAGCAACATGGAAGTGTGACGACCCCGAAAGAGTAGCAAGTATTTGTGCAGACTTATATTTACGGTACACTTTTTGCTCATTCAGTTGGACATGTAATCATAAGTTTGACTAACTAACATATTATCAGATATTACTATATATAGCTATGATCATTTATTCTTTACTGCTTTATTGTTTCGTTTTTTCAATTTTCCACACAATGAGTGTTACATTAGACGTTGTTTCAGCAATCCTTGTAAGTTTTGACTGCTAAGTACACACATGGTGCAAGGTGATGCAGTGCAAAATAAACAGTTAACATGTTCAGTCATGGATTTTTTTCTACAGAAATAATGTTATATTGGCTGATCCATGCTCTTTGTAAGGGTAACAATTGCAATGCGACCTATAACTGCAACACACATTTCAATTGGACCTGTTTTTTGTTATTTCGAAAACAAAAGTTTTGTCGCTAAAATGTGTCTAAGAATTCCAATAACCCCCTTCAAAATACAATTATTATATGTGTGGTAATACAAAATGTACATTAAAATGAATAAACAAATTAAAAGTAGTAGTACGCACAAACATTGAGATCCACATTTATTTAATTTGTTGGCTCTTTAAAATTCAATTGACCCAAAGTACAATGTGCAAATGTGAGCGAGGGGCTGTGAGATGTGACAGCTATCCTGAGGCTGATATTTAACCTGAGATGTTTTGGTTGTGTGGCAGTTTAATAAGATAATGGTTTGGTTGCTAATGAGTGAGTCCTGAAAATAACTCAAACAAACCAAAACAAATTCTCTACAGAAAATGGGTTAAAAATCCTCAATGTGGAAACTCTTAATGTCCCGCATGTTATCCAATCAGGACACACCTCCTAATGAAGGCACAAGAAGGTGAGGCTCAGTTATTCCCTCATTTGAAACAGATTAAGACGTGCTGAAGTCGACATTTTTATTTAAATCAATTGTTTCATGAACAAGCAAAGTGACCAATAAGGGTATTTCAAAACGCCCCATTACTCATACTCCTTTAAGCTGTGTGCCTGAAGTTTACTACTTTTGTGTTTAAATCAGTCCGATTAACAATATAATTAACATAAGCTCTTAGTTTTAAATTTGGTAAAGGAAGTAAAGACTACATTTAAAATGTTATGTTGTTTGTAGGAGTAGTGTCATCATTTTAAACATCAATTACGCACTAATAAATTACACAATCATCAAAAAATCGTCATTTTCAGTCGAGTCATTTAAGTTAACTTTTTTTCATAACATTATTTAATGAGGGGGAAATATCTCAGTTTTAATAATACATGATTTAAGCTGTCCACAATCAATAACTAAAGTAAACATTTTGTTCTTCAATAAGAGCCCAAAGTGCATGAACAGAAAAACTGAGATTTATTAATGCGGATCAGACAGTTACTGTACAGCGAACAGTGTTAGAGTCGGACCAGTCCCTCTCTGTGTAACACACACACCTCTAACGCGACTCCCCGCCTGCTCTTGTAGGCGTTACAAATGAAATGAATTAGAGTGGATTACAAATTGGCATCTGTCCTCTCTGCGACATTAAATCATCAGTTAAAAAATAATTATGCTCTGTGCTCAGGATTACTTTTAAACAAACGTACATCTTGAAATAGTGTTTAAAATATCAACATTGTGTTAGTGCACATAAAAGACAACTTGCCCACAGTTTACATTTAACCGGTTGTAGGACTTTGAATGATGAACGATTGTGAAGAAGGAATGTCCTGGAAATGCAAAACACATTCAATGATTCCTTTTTCTCCCTGGCCATGATATTGATGCATTTCCTCAGAGGCCGCCAGTGAGAGGACAATGGTCGTACTGGGGGGCTCTCGATGGAAATGTGTCAAGCATACTGCTGAAAATGAGATTCAGCAGATCTGTCAATAGGATCAGAAGACATGGTTGTAGGGACAGACGTCTGGGGACGCTCTTATCGCACCGCAGACACTCTCCGACATTACAAACTCTCAGATGGCTTTCCTCTCCTCAGGCAACGGCTTCAGTCATCAACAGAAAAGGCAGCCATGTGAAGAAGAAACCATTTCAACTTCAACCACTTAGGTTACAGTGCAGAACACACAAGAACATACACACCCAATAACACACACAACTACACGTGGGCGTGGTCCGAGTCCAAAGGCTGATTTCAGTGACAACAGCAGTGGATAATCAATGGGGATATTTGGCACCTACACTGCAGCGTTCTGCTAACACAGCACTAACATACATGTTAAAGCTACACAGACTTTTTGGCAATTTCTTGTTATTTTTCAACCGAGTACACATACAATGAATCATCCTTGTGTCGTGGCTGTGGTCCTCAATCCTAATATTGTTATTAGCAAGCAGCAATGTAGTAATAAGAAGAACATGTATGTTGTTTGTTTTCATTTATTTAGTTCTCAAAGTTAGTAGTCCCTTGTTGCATTAATATGTCAAGCATACATGCATTTATTTTACTGCCAGAATTACCTGTACATAAATAAAGATCGCTACATTTTAAGATTTAGAGTTTATAAGTTCTCAATTTCAAGAAATAACTAGTTGGCTGGTAACATTTAATACAGTTTATTCTGAATAGTTAGCACAGCAACTGACCACAGGAAAGATTCAGGTATAAACATCAATCAATTAAAAAGTGTGTCGTTATAACCAGACATAGCTTTGCAAAATGGCCTGAGACTGTTTGGCAATGACGGGGGGGAACGTGCAGCTTCATTTAGCTTATTTAAGCTTTGCTAGGTGTTTATTTAGGGATGGACTGTGCTTTGTAACAGATACTTTAGAGCATACTGAACGTTACCTAATTTAACGCACTGGCTCTATATCTACAGGGAAGTTGGATAACAGTAACAGGTATGAACAGGTGACTACTTTGAGTACTTCCTGTAGGTGTTGTCTGCACAGCGTTACGTAACACAGGCAGGTATAATCAGTTCCTCCATGAGTACTGTGATGGATTATCTGGATCAATAGAAGCCTTTTTTAAAGTCTGTAAAAATAACCATTGCCAGAAATAAATCACAAGTCCTTTTACCTCCAACTATACTGCTTGTTTGCACACTCCAAAGACAAACTGTGCACTCTAAAACAATACAATTAACAAATGAATTTAAAAAACATTTTCAAATTTACAACCAGTTATTTAAAAAAAAAAAAACATGTTGGAGACATTCACTCAAAAAGAGCCCATTTCTGCAGGCACCACAACTGTGAACTAATGTATGGCTGCATGCGCGTTTAGGGATCATTCCCACCATGAGTTCAACCCGTGACATCAAGCTCTCTGCAGGCTGTCACTGTGGGTCTTCAGCGTCTGGACTCGACCGACTGTGCTTACCAACATCTAGGGAGTTGACATTCAATTTCCAAACGGTAAAAAAAAATAACAAATAACTTTTCCTTTTTTTCTGAACTGTACAAGATTATTACAAAAATCAATAATTAGTTATACATATTTATATGACAACATTATTAACGTTATATTACTATAAAGAAATACAACTTTTTGTGTTGTTTTTGTTTAAGACTGAATGCAGTATTCTTTTTTCAGAGTGCTGTAGCTTTGCTGCGCTGAAGGTCTCTACTTATCTATGCATTACACGTGTAATATATCGGCACCTGTAGCTGTTTCACTCATTGAAAATATTATGTAAATTGTGAGACTGATTGTAATTTTCAGCTACATAAATCATAATTTCACACAGATAAATGAACTAACTGCAGTAGCAATATCTGGTCACAAGGCGGCGCTAAATAATCCACCAATAAGAGCCATTGTGTGTATTTACCCAGCTTTCCTATAATGAGAACTCAACAATAAACGTGTAGATAACGGCTGCTGAGCCTCATGATGATCCACCCTCGCCTGTCACCTGTGACGTTTACGTTTTGTTCACTCAAACGTAAACATTAAGTGAAACAGGAAGCAGTCATCCGCCCGTTTCCTCCCTCATATTTTCAGCTGTTTGTAGTCCAAGAAGCTGGCGAGCTCTGCGCTGCCACCTGCTGGAAAAAGAATACTGCATTTCTCCGCCGCTTGTTCCTTCAACTTTTGTTCCTCAGCTCTAGTGTGCATCCTGCAGGGAAAGGAGATATGGAGGGAGGGGTTGTTTAGGCAGGCCCCTCCTTCGGAGAGGAGGGGGTCTGGGACGTGGAGCTGGAGGAAGAGGAAGAGGACGAGGAGCTCTTCAGGGAGCCCAGAGTTTTGCTGAACCACGAGTTCTTGGCTGCCTGGATCTCGTTCATCAGGACCCCCCGCTGGTGCTCCAGCTCCTGCAAAGAGACAGAAGTTTATCATTTGTTTAACAACATGTGATCCGGACTGTTCAGCTACTAAACATATTTCCATCAGCTTTAAGCACTTTATGGCAATTGACAATTCAAAAAGGAAGCCAGATAGTCTTTTCAATGCAGCTGTGTATTCTGATAAACACTGAATGGCCCGTCTTCTTGGTGTATCAACTAAGTGTCAGCAGCTGCATGTACTTTTTTCATGGATTGTGTGGAAGGTGTTTTTTTTTGTAGTGTCTCACTTCTTTGTTATGTTATGTTTTGTTTTTAGTGAAATATATGAAAAACTAGTGGTTGGATTGTTACAAAATGTAGTATCAAGGTATCAATGTACCCTTCAGAAATATATCTCAATTACAGAATGATCATAGAGTACAATACTGAGGCTCCTTCCTCGGGTCAAGTTTTGTATTTGTCCAATACTAGTAGCTTTAGCATCAGCCTTAGCTGTGCTTGTGTTTTACGCTTATTAGCCTGCTAGCATGCTACAATAAGACAAGTTAAAATGCTTGTGTTTTAAGAATCTGCAAAATGTTTTGACTTATTTACTGTGAACATGTGGAAGTTAGCATTTAGCTCCAAGCGTTGCTGTACCTAAATAAAGCTAGCTAGCATGAATATTACCTTGTTTGTGTTTGGTGTCTATGTTTCTACCTTTTTTACACACTTTCTTTATATACTAACTTTACATCTTCATATTATATGCATTTTCTGAGGGAGCAGTGCCACAGCCTTGACATCTCTGTTGTTATTTGGGTTTCCACCCCTGTCCTCCCTGGTGTTGCTCACCTGCATGCGGCACTTGGCCTCCACCAGCTGCAGTTTGGTCTGAGCCAGCTCCAGCTCCAGATGCCTCAGCTGCTCCTTCAGTCCGTCCTTCTCCTCGTCCATGGGCTCGGTGGATGTGTGGTCTCTCCCGGGGGACGAAGCCTGGAGGGACCCCAGGGTCGTGAACAGGTCCCTACAGCGGTCACAGCCCATCACTTTACTCTGCAGAGGCACACAAGCACACACAGGCGTTAGGTTGGTGGGTGAACACACTGTATGGACATGTACAAATATATGCTAAAAATAAGTGCTGTGCTAAAACAAAGTAATACATCTGGTGTGGAAGTACACTTGCTTGTCTTGAGTTGAAAGTAATATCTTGGTGTTTTTAGTTGATTTATCTTTGTACTAATGCAGACCCCTGCTTAATCTAGACAGTGATGTCTAGAGCACTATGCCTTGATGAAGACTACAACTAACTT